ATCACATGCACTATCTAGATCCTCCACGAACCATAGCTCGAATGATGAAAAACAATCCCCACGAGTATCCAGTGACAAGCTGCTAGCTACATCTGAGGATGCCTCACCACCTCCACCACCACGGCCTGGGAAGGAACCTTCAACGGCACCAATAATGAATCAACCAACATTGCACAAACCACCCCCTCCAGAATTAGATCCTGATCTTCCATTTGATTTTCACCGATTCTTGGAGCAACTACGACATCGAACGGCCGATCCCGTAGCCAAGTACCTCCGCTCATTTTTGTCTGAATTTTCAAAGAAACAGTGGATGGTGCACGAGCAAGTCAAGATAATACATGACTTTCTCGGCTTCATAACTGGAAAGATGGGATTGTGTGAAGTATGGCGTGAAGTATCCGATCAGGAGTTCGATCATGCAAAGGAGGGGATGGAGAAATTGGTCATGAATAGACTATATTCACAGACGTTTTCTCCGGCTATACCTCCTCCGAATCCGCCGACCCCAATCGGAAGACGGAGTAGAGGTCGGGAGATGCAGATGACAGGCCGGCGAGGGCAGCATCAGGAGGATGTAGAGAGGGATGAAATTTTGGCACAGAAGGTTAGGATATATGGCTGGGTGCGGGAGGAGCATCTAGATATCAAGCCGGTGGGAGAAAGTGGTCGCAAGTTCTTAACATTGGCGATGCAGGAGTTGGAGAAAATAAAGAGTTATAGAGCGCCAAGGGATAAAGTTATTTGCGTATTGAATTGCTGCAAAGTCATTTTTGGTGGGTACAGTTTCTGGGTTTTTCGAAAGATTGGGTGGCTAATCGATAATCGGCGATCAGGGTTATTACGGCATGCTGCTGATGGAGATACGTCTGCGGACCGTTTCGTCCCGTTGCTTATTTATGTTGTTTTAAGAGCGAACCCGGAGCATCTAGTCAGCAACGTGCAGTATATTTTAAGGTTTCGAAATCCAGATAAGCTGGGTGGGGAGGCGGGGTATTATCTTTCATCATTAGTGAGACCCGCTTGTGCCTCCATACTCAAGATTGACCGGTGGCTAATGGGCTTCTTTTCATTTTGATGTAGATGGGCGCTATTCAGTTTATAGAGTCTCTAGACCGTTCCAGTCTTACCATCACGGATGTCGAGTTTGAGAAGAATGTGGAAGCGGCCGTGGCCGCTATTGCGGAGAAGCCAGCATCACCTCCTCGTGCTTCAGCTGCTGACGATGAGAGATCCTCACGAAGGCCGGGGCAACAGTACCTCGATAGAGATACTGGGGAGAGTAGCAGTAGGGGACAGCTTCGATCCGTCAGCCCTCGACCAATCCAGGAGAAGATACCATTTACTTCTGGTAGTAGTGATTATAATAAAAGTAATAATAAGCCCAGCAATAATAGCAATAGCGATACCGATGACCCTACTGCTGCTGTGGCGGGGCTGCTGCGATCAATACAGAAGCCGTTAAGTACTATTGGGAGGATTTTTGGCGAGACAACAGGGCCGGCGCCGCCGGAAGTGGATAACCCCGGGGGAGCGACGCCACGAGGCCGATCCCCTGCGCCACAGGGAAGAGGCGTACAACGAGCCGGGAGTGGGAGGAGTGGGCCTGGGGGAGGGATGAATGCGGAGGAGGCGGCGGCTAGACAAGCTAGTGCTGAGGCGGCAGAGGCGTTGAGGATTCAGCGAGCGGAACATGACGATGTTGTTGAGATTTTGAAGAACATGTTCCCGGAGCTGGATAAGGATTTGATTAGTGATGTCGTAGTGCAGAAAGAGGGGAGGTAGGTTTCATTCCCACCCTGTATTTATTTTGTAGAGTAGGCGCTAACTCTGAAGTTATACAGAGTTGGGCTTGCGGTCGATGCTTGTCTCTTGTTAAGCTCAGGGTGAAGGTTACGGGGATTGCAGCGAGCGGAAGTAGAAGGACTTGGTATATTTTTGTCCACGGCCAGATTTTTCATCCTTTTGTCAGTCGAAGGTCATGGTGTTTCTTTACTCTGTGTTCTGAGTGGAAATTATATATTGGGCACGATGGGCATTACTTGTTACTTAGGACATACGTTTGCGCAAATGTGCAGTATCATTGAGTTTGTAATTTGAGGTGTTGTAGTAGTTGTTTGCAACCCTTGTTTGCAGCTTGTTGGATGGAGGATTGGGGTGGGGATGAGGATTGGAAGTGCTGTTGAGTGGAGTTGTATTAGAATAATTATAAGTACCTACTACTTAGGATGTGAGAGAGACTTGAGTACGATAAGAAAGGTGTCCCGGTGGATGCAACTAGACTACCAGACTCACCTCTACGGAAACGGGGTAGCGAGCCTGATTGGTCTAAACGAATTCAGGGTGAGTTGGATAGGGCGCTAATCTAGTCTCGATCGAGACTACGCTATTCTCATTCGATTTGGGTCATGTCTTTTGATTGCAAGCTGCGTCGAGGAATATGAAAAAAAAAAATGAAAAAAATATCTCAAATTTTAGTCTTGGTTTAAACCGTTGTAACCTTTTGCTCCAATAACAGAGCAGAGAATTTTTTTGTAACGAGAGAAACTGCGAGTGATGTGTATGCAAATCTCGAGTAAATCAATAGCCAACTTTAGAAACATCGTGGTCATTTTGTAAGGACTAGAATTCACCTTCTCCCAAAAGAGAAGAGAAGAATCCTCAGCGAAGGCGTCAAGTGCAGCAATATACCACCAGATGAGTTTCCTGTCTCCTTCAAGGCTTGTATCTTTGAAGCCTAAATCCGGACCGTGAGCATGAATGGCTCACACAAATGTCTTTGTAAACCCAAGCCTTATCTGTCGTATAACCTACTTCAATAGCTGGCGGACAGCGGGTTGGCATAGTAACTGGGTGGATGATGGCATTATCCCGTCTCCTCTCGCACCTCTCTCTCAATGCAGCCCCATGCCCTGTTTCGCCGCAGTTACGACGGCCTTTTTTTCGAGTAGCCATTCATATCCTTGACACCGTCGGATTCAAGGGCTTGCACGTTGGAATTGTGATATACGGCGGCATACCGGCTGTGCCTTGTGCTTCTTCTCATTCGATTTCATGACCTGGACCGCCGTTCCATATTCTTCACTATTTGCCTTTAAGTCCTCAATAGTTGCTTGAATATCGTTCACAGCTAGTTCCCGCTTTCCATCACTCGTCTTAAGATCCCTGACGATGGTGTGCATATTTCGCATGTCTTTTAGCATTTGTGGCACCTCGTTCTCTGTGATGCCAATTATAGTTGCGAGGGCCTTTACTACCTTCTGGCCGAGGTCGTTTGCGGTAGTTTCGGCTAGTCCATTGCTCTTCCTTTCTGAGTCGAGGGTATGATTGGCAGCAATGGCATCAACCGCATCAACGGTGGGGTATGGTTCCGTATCATATATTGCATCCGGAAGCTCACCAAATTCATTTGGGGGGCCAATGCAGATAGGGAATCGGTTTGACAAAATGCCATGGATCATGACATCCTCCATTTGGTCGGCTAACCAGGCAGATAGCTTAAGTACACTTTTGCGTACTTTTTCATCGCAACAAACCATCTCAATACCTTGCTGACTTCTTCCGTCGGATAGGGGATTGAGTATAGAACTTAGGATCTCATGTATGACCTGAAGGGTTTCCAATTCCTGGGCTTCAGTAGGCGTACAGTGGACTTTATATTGCTAATACTCATATATAGAGGCCATATTTTCTTGTCCCCGGAGAAGTTGGTGAGATGCGTTTCATCCGACGCCAAAAGGACTAGGACCAGTATAAGTTCTGTTTGTAAGACATAAGCAAGCGACTATAGTAGGGTGATTGGGGTGCATACTTGTTGATTCCACTACCATGATCCCGTATTCATTTCAGAATATATTCTCTCGTTATCCTTATTGAATAGTCCCAGAGTATGTGTCGCATGTGCCAACCAGACTAGATATTACAGCAGTAGAAATCCGACTTCGAACATAACGCATATTGAACGGAGCCTGTGTTCCATAATGGATCTGTGACTATTTTGTCGGTTTGCTTGGAGAATATGTAGCCCGATTTAAAAAAGACACTTGATGTCGGAGGGTCGGTGGGTGACTTTGGCAAAATGTTGTTGTGAAAGCAATCATCGATTCTGGCTTGGGGTACCTTCCTAAAGGTGAAAAATCGAGCGAGCTTGTAACCTCGTGCATTATGGAAAGGATGGAGATGATTGTATTCCAGTGATCGCTGGTTCAAGAATGGAAATTCACAGAGAGGTTGGCCAGCTTGATATCTGGCTGACAGCTGCCAAACGACATCGATCATGTATGCATTTGCGTCGGAGGGGAAATCTGTCTATACGTCTGAGGTTTCAAAGATCGGTTCAGCGTCTGAGTCATTTGCAGGATCTTCGAGATGGTACTCCGGCTGGAAGTCTTCGTAGAGTTCTTGTATTTGAACTAAGTCCGTTGGATCAATATTCGAAATGCTTGCGTAAGAACATTCAGATTCTATGCTTGTTCGAGAGCCTGATTTTTCAATGGAGGCATCTGTATGTTTGGGAAAACCTCGACGCTGTCAACTTGCTGACGCACAAGAGGGGTGAACGTCTGATTGTCTTTGTCTAGATGGCTTTTCTGGATGTGATTGGGATATACTCAGGCTCCCCAAGAAGTATATATATTGCACCATCGACAGCGGATCTTGTGGGAGTTCATTTTCTAAGTTGTAGCTTTGGGTTGTGTTTGGTGAGTGGTTAGAAAGAAGTTCGACTCGGTTTAAGTGACTTACCTAGTCTCGTGCTGACGTAATTTTTCGTCATAAAGTCTAATATACCGGCAGTCATTTCCCTTAGAAGGTTCCGCTACCTTCTGCCTACAAAGTACGGACGGAGTAGGTACATGCTAACATGAAAGGGTAAAATCAATTTTTCTGGGACCAATCCTCTTCGGTACCAATTCACCACTGGTACTTAGATAGTCTGGTTAGTACTTAGAATCAGTACATATACACCTATTGATGTTCAATTCACACGTCCTGAAAAATATCGCCCAGCGCAGGATTCGAACCTGCGACCCCGCAACAACGTACATTGTTACGCTCTCCTCCCCTCAACCCCTATCTCTATGTATCGGTACCTATTCTTCCTAACCTGCGCATCGCGCTGTCTTTCAACGGCATGCATGGTGCCCCGCCTAGATCTCCCCGCCCGGAGATATATATCAAACATACTGTACATAGAGAAGGCTTTTGGGGGGAGGAATATTGTACTTACGGTGCTCTACCAACTGAGCTAGCTAGGCGAGGGACGTAGGGTTACTATATGTACGGGGATTTATTCCGGAGGTTATGATCGTTGGTTTATTTAGCCAGAGGAATATTATTTTGTTAATTACGTGGCATCTCGTTAATTCATATCATATGAACCTACAAAAAAAATTTCGCCCAGCGCAGGATTCGAACCTGCGACCCCGCAACGACGTACATAGCAACGCCTGCCTCCCCCGCCAACCTCACCCTATTCCCCTTCCAAGGGCTTATCGCACTGTACACTCGCGGTACTTATGGCGATTTATATGCATACGTACCATTCTAGGCACGGGACTGAGGGATCATATCAAGACTGGCCAATCTTCTCGAACATCAAACGGGGAATTTGTGGGTAGGCTTTTGGGGGGGAGTGACTACTGTACTTGCGGTGCTCTACCAACTGAGCTAGCTGGGCATTGATGTTCGAAAGAAGTGGAATGACGGTATCAGACAGCTAGACAAAGCTGTGCCAACTACGGATAGACAAAGCTACAACTGAAAGCCACTAACCCTGCAGGCCTAGTACCTACTAGTGAGCAGCCACGGGCTAGTGAACACCCCTGCAACCCTGCAACAGCGACTCCAGCCACAACTCGTGATATATTATGAGCCTCGTGATTCTGGCTAAATGCATATCTATGGAAACGAGTAGTCTGGTTCTATCCAAGCATGTCGTAAGTTAGCATATCCTCTTCCGCATCTTACAGATGGGAAAAAGAAGAAACAGAAGATCTAATAAGCTGGATGGAGGACAATCTTGAAGTTATGAAAGGCAAGCAAGCGCTTTGGTATAAGCAGGTGAAAAATGATCTTTTCGAAAGTAAAGATTAGATTTCAGCGGTTCGAATAGAACAGAAGATAGCGAATATGAGGGGTCAATGGGAAGAAGACTCGGGCGATGATAGATTAACCAGGATAGGGGCTGCGTCCAGAAGAGAATGAGCAGTCCTTAAATGCTGTGGTCGAGAAGAAATGCCCTTTCTTTTGGCGATTAGATGTTGTTGGATTCGGGCTTTTTCAGTATAACGAGGCATCTTGATAATTGATATGTTAACCATCACGATTAATCAATAACACTTTTTTTTCAAATTACGCGGTCAAATGGGACACCTCAATATGGTTTAGTCCGTACAGGGGAGCCTGGTCAATTTTGCATATCAATAAAAAAATTTTTCTCATTTGACTAACTACCACTACTATCCTGGACCCTCGCCTTCCCCCCCTCCCCTCTGCAGCATTCTCAATCACTACAGAGAAGGCTCCAATCACTACAGAGAAGTCTCCAATAGAAGCTCCAATACCCCTTTTGGCCTTCAAAAGCCATGAGTCGCTTGTATCTGGATGGTTTACCGGCCTCTCCTGGGGTCGTTTCAACCCCCTCACAGCAACCATTATTTGCTCACCATCAACCTAGAGTCCAACCTCTCCAACCTCGCTAACAGAGACCTCTCCGGGGGTGCTGAGAATGCTCTGGAAGAGTGTTCGGATCAGGTGGATCTAGAAGGGCATAAATAAGGTGCATTGGTTGATTGGATAACAGCTCTCGGAAATGCTTATTTGGGAACAATAAAACAATTAACCTAGTCCACTGGGGAGGCCTCGCACGCAAGCCCAACGTGCCAACCAGACTAAAGCCCAACCTACGGTGCCCGCCAGTACTATTACATAAATCACGGGACAATGTAACACAACACGAAATGTAACTTGTATTCCTAACTAAGCGATACTTCCTAACTAAGAAATAAACCTCCTACCTGTAGTCTTAGTCTCGATCAGACCCTCGACTGCAAAGGAGGGTGTTGTGCCAACAATACCCCGACACCCTCCAACATACCATAAATAAAACTTGAGGGGAACACACGCAACGCTAATCTCACTTTCCGTGTGGGACAATCAACCGCCAAAACAAACTCCCTATGATACAAAAACGCCAATCCAATTTCCCCCACCTCCTTAAACTCCAAAACTTCGTCCAACTTACAATAAACCCCAACATCTGCATTCTTCGTATGATTCCATCCCGTTCCAACATTACTACTCACAGCACTCCCATCCCAATTAACTGTCCGAGGATTCTCACACCTCAATTTCGTCGTAAAAAACAACTCTTACTATCGCGCCAATCAACTCTTCCAACTAACTTCCCAACAGGCTTCCCATGATGCCCACTGATCCTAGCAGTATAAACCCGCCCATCAGTAGAATTAAGTGATTAAAAGAATTTGTGGGTGTATGCTAATTGATTTTCATGGGTGTATGCTAGTTAGTTAAGATTTTATGTTTCGTTGGCAAGCGAATGTTGGTTCACGTAAACGAGAATGTTGTATTATAGAGGGGGATGAGGAGGAGGAAGCCGATTTCAAAATTTTGTTTGAATCTGTTAAGATCAGGGTTATGTTTTTATTAATGTATTTTTTAGTTGTTCCTCGTGTGAAACGGGCTCGTCGGTTTTTTAGTGAATCGCCTTGTCGTGATGTTTTAAGTAGGCGGAGAGTATTGAAAGGGGGAGTTCGGGTTTCCAAATTTCAAAAGTGTTTTTGAAGTTTCAAGATTGAAAATATTTTGAAAGAGCTGGATGTTGTTAAAGCGCAGGAATGTAAGGAATCGTTTGGGTGTATTCGATGTGGTGTTTTGGCAAAAGAGGTTACCGGTAGTGGGTGATTGATTCTCAAGGTAAGTTTTCGCATACGTTATGTAGTTGGTATTTAATTTTTTTTTGGCTTTTTAGATTGTTTCAAAAAAGATTTCCCTCGGGAGATCTGGATTATGATTATGGAGTATTGTGATATTTCTGGTTTGTGTTCATTGAAGAATAGTTGTCGGTAGATGAATAGTTATTTGGGACCGAGTAGGGTTATTTATGATGTGGATATGGTTGCCGTTGTTGAGCAAATGGAACTCCAGGAGCTACAGTAGAGCAAGTATCGGTATCTTCTTTGGGAAGGGGAATGAGAGAAATCGGGGCGAGTTTGTCCCTGCACACTTACCCCAGACTATTTAAGTAGCTGAGCTGGTAGCGGCCTCGAGGGGCTATAGATTTGGTGAGGTGCGAGAACAAGGATTTACAACGTTGATTATATCTTCAGATTCTAAATATGTAGATCTAGATATGGAAGAAGGCGAGATACAAAGGAATCAAGAACGCAGATCTATTCAGGAATTGGAATATGAGATGCAGATTAAAATACAATTCTAGAAAAATACACTGAGAAGATAACGTAAGAGTGGATCAGTGGCGATGAGGGTATATGAAGAAGAGAGGGAGCAGGTCCCTGGAGATGAGGACGAAGCCCAAATGGCTGAAGGATGACTGACTGGTATGGGGAAATAGCTCATTACTTACTCTACAGATATCTTTGGAAATCGAAAGTTAAAGATGACTGTCATCCCTGAAGAGTTCCACTAAATGCAGTTTAATCCGAGAAGACATCCCTTACTTTGCTTATCGAGAAACCAATAGTGAAAGGTCAAATATGTGACCGAACCAAAAGTCGAAAAAATTCTCCATAGATTTCATAATTGTCATGGGCATTTTTCCCCAGGTATTATGGGACGGAATTTGATGGCCAGGTACTATTGACCGGGAAGAATGTGAGATGGTGTTACTTCTGTAATTCATATCAGAGGTTGGGACCTCTTTGAAATTTAACACAGGTGAAGCTAATTTATACTATAACCCATGGATTTAATGAGTATAAATTTCCTAGGGCTGATAACTCCAAACAGCAAAAACGGATCTATCTATACTTTGACATTGGTGGATTACTTCTCTCGGTATCTCTTTGTACATGCCACAAAGAGAAATACAGGTGCAGCTGTGGTGGAATTCGTGGAGTGAGTATGCAAAGTCTCTGGGTGGCCATTAGCCATTTATGTGGATAATAGAAGACATTAAATTATAGGGGCAACTCCCAAAACTTCTCCGGACAATGGGGGTTAAACTGTTTAATGCCCCTATAACAAACCCTCAATCTGTGGGCCTATCCGAGAGATACATACAAATAGTGCTGACAGCCTGACTCTGAGCTTTAGTGGAATCGGATAGTCGAAACGATGTTATGGATAGATGGGACGAACATTTAGGCACCGTAGTCCAATCTATTGAGTCAATACTCGCGTGTTGTAAACTCATGGATATACCCCTTCGCAACTGTTCTTGGGGTTCAACTTTAGAACCCATCAGTTAGATGAAATCATCGATGAATATATCCGATGTACCAAGATGTCAGATCTGGGGGGATTTTCAAGGGATATTTGGATCAATATGAAGTGAGATTGGCAATAATTGAAGAAATGCAGGAGTTAACAAGAAAAAGAGTATTGCTGGAGCAAGGCGAAGAGAATTCTGGCTGCCGCTATACCCAGATACATAGTACCCTAGCTGAGAGATTTAGTTTTTTGTAGAGAAGTTTCAAGGTGGATAAGAGTTTGGGAATGAAGCTGTTTAACAAAATGGGATGGACCTTATTGATTATCCCGCATTTCCAAATCAAGGGTTTTGGGGGACCTGGAAGACTTGAAAATGGGCAAGGTTATTGGGAGATACGTATTTGAAGCTCCGAAGGTGTTTGTGCCTCGAGATTGCGGGATTGGTGATATCTCAGGAATAGAAGGAGAATGGGTTTCTAATGGACTATGGTGGAGGGTTTGGGATCTGTGACGTCTAAGACGCCCAGACATTTTTCGTTCTTGATTTGATGTCTACATGTCCTGATGTGTGAGAAGGGGGTGGGGGCGCCTTTTGCTTGTTAGAACGTCGATTTTTGCGTTGTTATATTTCCTCCGTTTTGCTCGGAAATAGACGCACTAAAACAATACAGATTTCCTCACGAATAAGTCGTGGGTTGAGCTTCATTCTGCGTGTGTCTTTTCCATAGCTCTTTAGTATGTATATAGTGTGGGCAGTTCCCCCCTTCGTATACAGTTCTATCCCAGTTTTCTACGCTTCGCTTCGAGTCACGGTGTCACTTCAGCACTCCCCTACGTTAGTTTA